CCCCCCCACCCACACACACACAAAATTATACTTATGTTTTATAACTGATGCAAGTTTAACAGCCAGTGACAGTTAGTTTTTGCTCTCTTTTTTCACTGTTTTGATGTGTGTAATTATTATATTTTAAACTGAATTAACAGCATAATAAATACTTTAAAAAGATTACTTGTGACATTTTTAGGAATTAATAATGTTGAACTATTTATCCTTGTTATATTTTCAGTGCCATACTTTGTACCAAATATCACAAAAGGATCATTTGAGATAAAGAAACTAAGTACTAGTAGAAGTATAACCTTGTACTGGAAGGTATGGTTTTATCTGCATTTCTTCTTATTTGTGGAAGTTTGTTGGTCAAATATAGTACATTTCAATATTGAATACTCATTCTGAACATACTCTTATCAAAAACTGATTATGGTAAATTTATGTCAAATACTACCAGCATTTGGTAAATTGAAAGTAACCTTAATTTAGGTAAATTGAATACATTCAGCTCTCACTAGGTATGGTAAGTGAATTTAATATTTAGGCTTAAATTTACCCTCTGGGGAACATCTTTTGTAACCATTGTTGTCATTCTTATGATTTTTTTACTTTGCAAGATTTTTGTTTAGTTATCAAATTAAAACCAAGCAAATATTAACAAAGCTTTTTTTTTTTAGCCAGTACCTCCAGAACATTACAATGGGCAAGATTTTCACTATGTGATCACTTACAAGCCTGTTTTTAACACAATATGGAAGAGAGAAGTGTTAGAACAAAATGTGGAAGTAACAGGCTTTAAACATACTTTTACTGATATGGATCTTAATACTGTTTACTACTTCAAGTTTCAATCAGCCAATAGGGAAGGTTTATCTAGCAGCATGGTGGACATTACTGTTGATAAAACAAAGAATTGTAAGGATACCAAATGTCGTTTCTCTAACTGGATTGAAGCTCATATAGACATACTTGTAGCCAATAAAAATAAAATAACCTTAATTTCTAGTTATTTTTTGTCATTCAATTTTAAATTTGTTGATTTTAACATCCCTTTTGCCAAAAATAAAAAATTCAGTTTATGTTATAACTATGTGTAAAATACAAAATATAAATTAACAAAATTGGAAATGTTGAAATGCTCGTTAAGTACATTTTTTTCCTTATATTTGTTCCCCTTATAGCTCACTTGTAAGTGTGAAGGCTTATAACGCTATAAATTGGATTTCATTACCAATGATAAGTACATCACAGATATTTCAGTTGTGTAGTTTTTGCTTAACAACAAACACATCCTTATATTTAATGTGTGCATGTACATATTTCTATTTATTTCACTTATTGTTTTATTTGCTTTTTATCTTTTATAATTATTATTTTTTACCTGAAACTATTTTAAAAAATACCTCTTTTTTTTTAACTATTACCCCCAAAAAAGGACTTGAGATGTTACTGGTCATTTTTTTTCACCTTAACATTAATTGTTGTTCATATATTAAGTTTGTAGTTTTATCTTAAAATTAATTTTCTCATACTGTAGAAAGTTAATTGTTATATTTCCATCTGGTAACTTCTTTTAATAAGAACGTTTGATTGAAAGCTATTAAATTATATATATCAGAACTAAAATAAAAAAAAATAAGCTTGTAAATTATTGAAGTCAATTTTATATAACAAACTGACATGAAGTACATAATATTTTTAATTTGTAATAAATTTGAATTAATGTCACCCCTTGGTAACTCAGTGATAAGTCTGAGGGCTTATAAGTCTTGAAAACTGTGTTTTGATACCTGTGGTGGGAAGAGCACAGATAACCTATTGTGTAGCATTGTGCTTGACAACATTTCATAGGTTGATGAACCTAAATAGTATATTTCCATGTTTCATTTCATCCATGTGGTTCTACTGTAGATTTGTGGGAGAAGACACAAATCACCATTTTAGAAACATAAAGGACAGATGAGAATCATTAACTACCACAGTTAAAAGAACAGTTGCTCATTATTTTTCCCCATTTGCTGGTTTTATGGAGTGGCCACAGACCTGGAGATATGGAAGTAGAAGATGTCAGAGAAATTTTAAAAAAGAAAACCTTAAAATGGAGGAGGGAATACTTTAAAACCTTAAAATGGAGGGGGAATACTTTAAAACCTTAAAATGGAGGGGGAATACTTTAAAACCTTAAAATGGAGGGGGGAATACCTTAAAACCTTAAAATGGAGGGGGGAATACTTTTAAGTGTCAGTAGCTACAGCAGAACAAGATTTCCATCAAAAATCATGTTAGTTAAACATTTTTCAATTATTGGATTATTGTTTTTCGTGACTGCACATTTGAAAAGTTTTGAATCACATGACACTTTCTCTACTTATCTTTCTTTTCTTTAACTACAAAACCTTAATAGCAGAAGTCTAGGTAAGGGTAGAGTACATAACTAGTTAAAATTTGTTTCTAATTTTTATTTGTTCATTGAAGGTGTAATAATTTTAAATATTTTCTAGTGCCTATTGCACCTGTCGAGGTCACTGCTATGTCTTATGGTAATGGGACATACCAAGTGAATTGGGATTACCCTGAAAGAGAGAGATCTGTTATCACTAGGTTCACTATCTACTGGTGTCCTAGTCTTCAGCCTCATCCTTTCTTATGCAGACATCCCATAAAATGGAGGATTGTTCCTGCCAGCAGCACATATGTAAACATTCAGTTATCTGACGATATCAATTACCAGTTTGCAGTTTCAGCAGATTCAACAGAGAATAGTTCTGGGATGAAGAGAATGTCATGTATTGTACCATATGAAAAAGGTGAGAAATACCACATAAAAAAAGTGTGAAATACCACATAAAAAAAGGTGAGAAATACAACTTAAAAAAAAGGTGAGAAATAGCACATAAAAAAAGGTGAGAAATACTACATAAAAAAGGTGTGAAATACCACATAAAAAAGGTGAAATTGCTACATATGTTTTTATGAAGTGAATCAATATTTCACCATTTCAATAAATTTTCATCAAAGTTAGTAAGCGACTTTCCTAGACAAATGTACAGAAAAAATGATGAGCCTTATCACTTTAATTCTTTCACAGAACTCCTATGTCTAGGGTCTCAGTGATTTCCTTTGTGTACCGAAAAGGATCTGTGTGTGTATATATATAAACTTACAAAGTGCTACGTTGGGCATGTAATAAGATTTGAGGGTAGGTTGGTAGAGTTCCTGATGAGCAATAAAATTGGATCGGGTATATACATGCTCGATGCTTGGTATTGCTGACACACAAAAATATAGCCAATACAAAGGAAACAAACAAGTATAATGAAAGAAAAAAAATTATTTTATAAAGACAAGTAGGGATATGTATACGTAACTTAGCTAGCTATAGTAATATAGAAAGTTTTAATGCCACAAAAAGTATTGAAAGAAGAAAGTTGAAACAACAAAAACTGAGTTACTTAAAAGTTAAAACATTTTATCCCTTCTGTTGCTCAAACTGACATAATTATAGTGATTTACCAAAGTAAGGATAAAATTGTTTAAACTTTAAGTAACTCAGTTTTTGTTGTTTCAACTTTCTTCTTTCAATACTTTTTGTAGCATTAAAACTTTCTATATTACTATAGCTAACTTGAAAATAAAGTTTGAAAATAAACTATGAAAATCTAATTCAAAGAGAGTTAAACATCTCCCAATTTGTTTGTCTGTAAGTTCTCTTCCTTTGTCCAAACTTTGGGATTCGGGTGTTCTAAGTCAACATAATTATTCACTATTGTGTATCATTTCATTATTTTGACATATTAATGTATTTAAGTTTGATTAGAGAATATTTATTTAAATTTTTTTCTTTGCTAGTAGTAAAGTTCTTGAATTTATTTGGGTCTTCTTAAATTGTCTTTTACATGGATGGCTTGACATCTTTTGTAAATTTGTTTGAATATAAACACAAACAAAAAAAAGCAAAGTTCCAAACCACATCCTTACTGGTTGAGCAGAAGCTCAAACCACCTAAGCTATCAGATTTCTAATGCTACAATCTTTAGTCCTCACTTTGATGAGGGCTAGGCAAGGTCTAGTTAATAGCATACCAAGACTATGAATCCAAGGGTTCATGGCTTATGTTCCATTGACAAAAATATGCTCCACAGTTTGGGACCATAAGTATTCTAAAACATTGGCAATCAAATCCCACTGTTTGATCAGATAAGAACAGCCTAAGAGTTGGTGGTAGATATTGTAGACTATCTGACTTCTGTCTAGTCTATCAGTTCAAAACTTGTGCACCTTTATACAACTCTTAATACCAAAATTTCAATGTTTTTTTAAGATAGAACTTTACAAGACTCCTAAAGGTATCTGTAATGTAGCCTTTAAAACCCGAAACCTATTTGTCACTATTTTGTCGGATGTAGTGGATTTGTACATCGTCTTTTGAAAATATTTTTTCTCAAAAAAAAGTTATTTTAGTTCATGTCAGAAAATATTATACTTCTTAACATGTTAAATAATTTATTTTTTAGCTCTGGACAAGGTCCAAGATGTGTATGTTTACAAGATTTTCCAAGGCCTTCAGGTTGAGTGGAGGCTGGCGTGCAGTGCTCAGAAGAAAGTTGTGACACAATACCAAGTGGAATACTGTAAGGTGAAGAATAGACTACAAGCATGCATTAGTAAGTAATAACTTACAGTGTAACATTTATTCCCCTTTTTAAGACTTCAACATTGGATGAGAGAGCAGTTTGATAATGACAAAGGCAAAGTTTCAAATTCGATGATGAGGAACCCATTTTGAGACTAATAATGGTTGCAGGTGGCTTGAATGGGCAATGAAGAAAAACTTTAACATAAGTTTAACATAACAGCAAATGTTAAAGTTTTTCTTCATTACCCATTCAAGCCGTCTCCAACCATTAAAAGGCAAAGTTTGCTTAATGACATTTTGCTGTGGATATTTTAGTACCTACACATCTTGTTCAAATGAAATGGTGTCTTAACCACAAGAATAATAATATTTTCATACACAGTCAATATAAAAAAAATATGACTGTGTAAATGTATATATAAATTGTTAGTAAACCACTGGATTTTAACCTACTGCTTTGATAACCATGCCATTTTATTTAAGATCTTTTATACCTAAACCATTTCTTTGACAAACCTGGCAGCCACTGAAACCTTTCCTCAGTAGTTAAAGAAAAGCTTATAATGACTGTATTAAACAGGCTAAGTAACAAAATGAATCAAATTGGTTCATCAATCATATCATACAGGCTAGGTTACTGAATAAGCCACATGTACCTTATGGGCTCATCAGTCATAATATGCTAAGTAATCTACTACATCCATGTTTTTCTAATAATGCCATCAATTAAATTGTGTAAAATAAGTAATGCAATATACCTATTTTTCTCTCATAATGCCACCAACCAATTTGTATACAAAGTAATCCAGTTTATATATATCCTTGGAATGATGCCAGTGACTAAATTATGTAGACTATTTAGCTCTATTATAATATATACATCCTTGGAATGATGCCAGTGACTAAATTATGTAGACTATTTAGCTCTATTATAATATATACATCATTTTAATAATATCAACAATATTGAGCAGAACAAGTAAACAAAGTTATTCACGTAGACCTGATGCAGTTGTTTATTAGACTTTAAAGAAATCTACTAAAAGTATGTGGAACACAAATTAAAATCATGTTATACTGAACATTGTGTTCCACAGTTCATTAAGTTTTTTGAGAAAAAGATCCTTTGATCGTCCAATTTTGTCATCAAAATATGTGGTTGATATTTTCTTGTTTTTAGTGTCGCAAATTGTCTGCTAAAAATAAACTGTTTGTCAGTTTCTCAAAAGATATAATTTGACTTTGATGAAAGTGGCAGCAATACAATTAAAATCTTTGAAAAATTGAAAAGAAATTAATGAAATTTATTATATTGACATTAATCAAGGTTAGAACACTTGGTTAAAGTTATTATATTGACATTAATCAAGGTTAGAACACTTGGTTAAAGTTATTGTATTGACATTATCCAAGGTTAGAACACTTGATTAAAGTTATTGTATTGACATTATCCAAGGTTAGAACACTTGATTAAAGTTATTGTATTGACATTATCCAAAGTTAGAACACTTGATTAAAGTATTTGTATTGACATTATCCAAGGTTAGAACACTTGATTAAAGTATTTGTATTGACATTATCCAAGGTTAGAACACTTGATTAAAGTATTTGTATTGACATTATCCAAAGTTAGAACACTTGATTAAAGTTATTGTATTGACATTATCCAAAGTTAGAACACTTGATTAAAGTTATTGTATTGACATTATCCAAATTTAGAACACTTAATTAGAGCACTTAATGCAGTAATAAAGAGGGAAAAGTTGTTTACATCCATCTAGCCGTATGTTTTAGAAGTTGGTGAATTGTACCATTTGTATGTACTAATAATATTCATTTAAATAGTGAATGTTTCTGGTAAGACCATACATGTTTGTGACAAGGTATGCCAATGTCATTCCACCTTACATATTACCTCTTTTTAATTTTGATGCAAAGTTTTCAGGACTGCAGTTTTAATTTTTATAATTACTTTCCATGATTTGCTTATTTTGGCTAATAAAAGTAACAACTCTAAAGTAATGCAATGGGTATTGTATTTTGAATAGCTTAGGTAAAGCAAGTTTTTATAGTAGGTAAGGCATTCTTTTACCTGTAAATAAATATTTTTTAGTATTTTGTTCTGCTAATAAATGAGGAACTACCTGTATACAATGACACATTTTGTGCTTTCCCAATTGTGATTTTTTTTTACACTTTTTACTATCTATACAATTTGCATATGTTCTAAACAATAGGTTAGTAAGGGTTTTTCTTGTTGTTTACTTGTACATTTATACAAAACTATTAGTAGAAACTACTTATATTGTTGTCACATAATGTTTTACGCTAGCATTGGATTCATGATGAGGAAACCTAAGTCTGATAATGAAAATGGTTTGTAAAACACAAAACATTTTATTTACAAGGTTTGGATATTTCGGGATACAGTCATTCCAGCTTCAACGAAATCTGAAAATAATGTTAAAGATGATTATTAATTAAAGCTATAACATCATTAATTTATGAAGTAATAATTAAATAACTTAGTGATTAATGATGTTATAGTTTTAGTTAGTAATCATTTTTGTAATGAGATTTTCAGATTTCGCTGAAGATGGAATGACTGTATCCCGAAATGTTCAAACCCTATAAACAAAATATTTTATGTTATATACTATTTTAGTTATTTATTTATAAGTGTTTGATGCATACGACAAAAAAGTTAGTCATTTTGAGTTTGTGATGTTTTTCCATTGGCAGTGTCCATACAATATATCGTAATATTTTTAATAATATCAGTTTTTAAAATTTCTTTCTTGTTTTTTCTTCTCACTTTACAAGAATTAAACTTTGAGGGTTTATTTCATTAAATTGTGACACTTTTCCTCCCTCATTTGTTATGCAGATTCCCAAAGTTTAACTACTTATAACCAAGACACTACAAAAATGAACATAACCAACTTGGAACCCTTCACTCTGTACAGAGTTACTGTACAAGTCTTGAGCAAAGCTGGGATCAGTAGCCTTAGTGATCCAAAGTATGAAAGAACCTTGGCTGGTGGTAAGCTGGATTTATTGAATAAAGCAGACATTTTGAGTAAATAAATACCATTCAAAATTGACAGATTTTATTTGATGCTTATAGACTTGTTTCACAATTTAGTGTTTTATGTAGCCACAACTCTCATATTATCATTATCTCTAGAACCCTTTAATGTTAAATTTCATATAAAAAGATTTCAGCACGAGTTATTCTCTTGAATACATAGGGAACATGCTTTTAGATAACACTAACTTTACAAAATGTAGAAAAAAAAAAAATAGATCATAATTACCTAATTTGTCCCTATTGAATACATGATGTAAACTCGGAAAAAAACTAGTTTATTCCATTTTATGTAACTTCAGGCAAAGAAGATGATGTCCATTTTATAGATCTTCAGAGTTTAGTCCAGAAAATGTGGCTAAGTTTGGGTTTCTGTTAATACTAATTGTCTATTTTGATAATTATTGCCACAAAATTTAATATTAAAAGACATTTATTTTGCCTAACTTTGAAAACTGAATTTTTTTTATTTGCAATAACACATGATTTCAACATTATACTATGAAGTAATGGACAAAACTTGAAGATGGTACTGTAAGAAAAGTTATGGTAGAATGTTGGACCAAAATGTGGGAGGGACAGAAAAAAGTCTGAATTAATTATTGTGAATGTCGTATGTGTACCATATCCTATAGAAACAAAAAGTGGGTAGCTACTGTCCCACTTCTCACACACACACACACACACACACGTAATCCTGCCTTTGACTTATGTTATACTAAAAGTATTAACATAGTTTGCCACATTATTAAAATCAACATATCATTCATAAAATATTGTGTGTACACAGAAACCTGTAAAACTATGGATCCAATAATTTGTATTTTGTAAAGGTTTATATAAAAAGAAATGTATGGTAAGTAATATACTTTTTATGAAGTTTAGTGTATAATACACCTTGCTTTTTTTTTATTTTTTCTATTGTTCTGAATGTGTTGGCATTAACAAAAAATTCTCTTATTATTATCTTATTACCAAAAGCTCCATCAGTGCCTCAGGAAGTAAAGGTTGTAGATGTTAACTCCTCTGCCATCCATCTAACCTGGAAAACTCCTGCTAAGCCTAATGGAATTATAATGAACTATGTTGTGCACTATAGAAATTTCTCTCAGGAAGTTATTGCTAGCCATGATAAAGAATCATACTCGCTTGTTTTGGGGAATAATATTGAGAGCTATACAAACTACTCTGTTGCTGTACAAGCTTGTGTTGACAAACACTGCTCCTCTCCATCATCTGCAGTGTATGGAATGACATGGATAGATGGTGAGATTATTGATTAATTAAAGAATATTTATTTAAGTAGCAAATAGTTAGATCATTTAAATAATGGACATTCATATTTTTTAATCAAGGTGAGAAAGTATTTTATGTCAAACTTGTGTTGTGAGAAGTTGAGAACACTTATTTCCCCAAAAAGAGGATAAAGGCTACCTGGAGGGGTCACTTTTTTAACCACTTGCACCATTAAACAGTAATGTGTTGTTAGTCAGTAGACGTTAAAATGTCGCATAACGGATGCTTGATGTTACAATTGGCACTGTCTAACATTAGTGTGTTGTCTGTCAGTCAGTCAGTAGACACTAAAATGTCACATAAAGAATGCTTAATGTTACAATTTGTACTGTTTAACAGTAATGTGTTGTCTGTCAGTCAGTCAGTAGACATTAAAATGATGTCACATAAGGGATGCTTAATGTTGCAATTTGTACTGTGATGATATCAGTAAAAGGTGTGCATGCCATGAATCATGAGAACAATTATGCACTCTGTAGGCTACAACACAGCATGACAGATTAAGAACAAGAAATAAATATACTTGTAACTCTTAATTTTGGTTTTATTTACTCTTGAAACAGAACACATACGGGGTCCCTTTGGAACTACATCTAGTTATGTGTGGCAAGTGATTGCTCTGTTAATAGGATAGCAGAGATGTACAAAGTCAATTGGAAAGACGCAAAAAAAAATTATTTACATACATGAATGTTTAAAAAAGAAACTTTTGAATGTATGTGGTAATTTTCTAAAGCAAGGACAAAGCTTAATTTAACAACCAGAAATTAAAATATCTTCGTGCATACACTGTAAAGGAAGTCACTTTCTTTAATTGTAAATTAAGTGTAACTTAAAAAAAATAGTTAATGCTGAAGTATGAAAGATTACAGCATAATTTCCCTTTTTTATACTTAACATTAATCAATACTGTTGTGAGTTATGACTCTTGCCTGTTCAACAACTTGATAATTTGATTTAAAGAGCAAGAGGTCTTTCTTTACAGTGGTTGGAAAACCAAGTTAAGGTTTAGTGAGGCCTAAAGCCTTTGTAGCATAGAACTCAAACTAAGTATAGAATGTTTAGTATCCTGTGATGGAACCTTATGTTTAATAGAAAGCTTGTCAGCTAAACACAAAGGTAGCTGGAGGGGGTGTGGTTCTTTCTGAAGAAAAACTTGTCAGCTACCTAATTCACTGCATTGACTTGGCATAATTATAGGTTTGTTAATAAACCAAAATCATTAGTGTTCAATGGTTAGAAGATTTTATCATCAGTTACAGAATTGTGTAATCAGTGTAGAGTAGCGTAAATATTTTGAGAAATTTACTAGTTGTACCATCTGAAGTCTGATTGGATATTTTTTTTTTCCACACTAGCTCCTGGAATGATGGAGGATCCTCATGTTGAAGTGATAAATTCTACTAACGTTCGAGTTCGATGGTCACCCCCAGAGCATCCAAACGGTCCAATTGATTTTTACCTGTTAGTCATGAAATGGCAAGAAGAAGCAAATGGAACTCAGTCAAAATTTTTTAATATTTCAGGATCAAAAACATCCATTATTATTCCACTGAACTGTCCACTAAAAATGGACAGCTCAATTGTAAACTTCACTATTCAAGCAGGTAACATCAGGAACAATACGAATCTTCTTGGTCCAAGCAGTTCACCAACACGGACGAAGATGTGTTTCCCAGAGGGTAAAAAAATTTAATCTACTTAAATAAGAAAAGGCATTACTTTTGAAATAAAATTGTTATACTTTTAAAAAAAATTTTTGTTTTTGTGCAATAGTGTTATTAAGATTTATCAGTTGGTCTTTATATAGTGTTTTGTTATCATCAGTTCTGTGTATGCTTATAGTAAAAACAAAAAAAGTTGGCAATCATCTGTTTCTTTTAAACATTATGTGCTTTAAATGAAACCCTACTGGCTTTAAAAGAAGAATCTATTTGTCTACATTCATTCATTTTATTTGTTACATGATACAACTAAAGACAGGAAGGAAGTTGTCAATTCCCATTTCCTGTGTCTTTAATAATTGACAACAACAACCTAAAAGTTGAAGGAATATATAGAGCTTTCTTTGGCTGTCTGTTTATATAGAGCCCAGTATCCAGGGCTTTCATTGGCTGGCTATTTATATTGAGCCCAGTACCCAGGGCTTTCACACCATATCTTTACTGGTGTTGTGAGATACTAGGCTTCCAGAGAGCTGGACTTGTGGCTGACAAGAGCTTTATGTTACTTTTTCTTTAATAGTCCCCAGGGTTATAGCCTCAACTTCTGAAACGTAATTGGTACATTATTTTATATCATGATACTAGAATATTTATAGTAGTGCTGCTTCATGAGAATTTAAAAATTCTGGTTAGAAAACATGCACAAAAGTGCTCTATTTTGATTGACTGTTTTTTCCTTGGTCTTTTTCCAACACCACTATTGTTCAATAGCAAATTAGTGTTCAGCATTTGTTTGTATTATTGGGGTTGAGAAAATAATTTAACTAATTCTTATACTCTATCTATCTATCTGTTTTCTACAGTTTGGTACAGCTTAAGAAGTGTTTTGACTGCATTTTTTACAATTTTTATCCAACATTGTATTGTTCAAGTGAGTGTTTGATGATACTTGTCACAAAATTATCCAATATTTTTGTAATTTAGAAGAGAGAGTGTAGCCTTTAGCTAATGTTAGAGCAGAGTATTGTTCAGCTATTTGTTCAATACTTCATTTTGTGTGGCTTATGTGGAAAATATGTAGTCTGTTAATGAAACTGTAATTATATTTCTTAGTTGTTGTGTTATATTATTGTTATTGATATTAAAAACAAAAAACATACTAGTTTATTTAACAATCAGAATAAATTATGATTATAACTTCTTGTATATTCATTCATAAAATGTGTGTACTTCATAGATGTCTTTCCTTGATTTTCAGGTCTACAGGTCCCCATGATTGTTGGAGCTGTAGTTGGTGGAACTCTTGGTTTGATATTACTGGTGATAGTTCTCTGTGCTTTAGTTCGCTGGTAAGTCTTCACTGAGCTAAATGATTACAAGAGTAGATTGTAAAAGCTACATCACTGTCTCTAACATCTAGACGAAGGTTGAATTGAAGCAACTTAACATTGTGTGTTTTATCTGTCACGTTAAAATATGAAAATAAGATTTGGTCAAATTAATATTTCATGTTTTTTTTACATTATTAATTGTACTTAAGAATAAAAGATCTCATGATGTTGTTATATAATACTCAAATGTTATTATCTTCACTTTTTGTATTCTTCTATTATAAATCAAAGTTCACTTCGTAGAACTTTTATGATGAAAAGTTTTGGGGAGTTTGACTGTTCTTTCAGTATGCTTTATTATAGAACTTTTTATGATGAAAAGTTTTGGGGAGTTTGACTGTTCTTTCAGTATGCTATATTATAGAACTTTTTATGATGAAAGATTTTGGGGGAGTTTGAATTTGCTCTTTTTCAATATGCTTTATTATAGAACTCTTTATAATGAAAGGTTTTGGGGGAGTTTGACTTTGCTCTTTCAATATGCTATATTATAGAACTTTTTATGATGACAGGTTTTGGGGGAGTTTGACTTTGCTCCTTCAATATGGTATATTGTAGAGCTTTTTATGGTGAAAGATTTTGGGGGAGTTTGACTTTGCTCTTTCAGTATGCTATATTATAGAACTTTTTATGATGAAAGGTTTTGGGGGAGTTTGACTTTGTTCTGTCAGTATGCTTTATTATAGAACTTTTTATGATGAAAGGTTTTGGGGGAGTTTGAATTTGCTCTTTTTCAATATGCTTTATTATAGAACTCTTTATAATGAAAGGTTTTGGGGGAGTTTGAATTTGCTCTTTTTCAATATGCTTTATTATAG